CTCCTGATGAACCAAGGCCCACCTCATCCTCTCCGCATCCAGAGCTGCTCCCTGTGGTGAGTCTGCAGCCAGCCTAGGGCTTGATCCTGTCTTTGTAGTGCAGGTATTTTGCCAGAAACAGGTGTTTTCTCTCTGCTGTTAGCTGTGCAGTGATTCAGATTTGCAGGGAAGGGGAGGGGGATCCTGCTCCAATTAGGCTGCCTTTGTGCTAACGTTTCATTCAGGGCTGTGTGAGACGAGCAGCGTTACTGAAATGCACAGCCAGGGGTTGTGGTTTGTTTCAATTTGAGGTGGTAACCACTGAAAGCACAGAACTGAGGCACTGCTTCACATCTGCCAGTGCGTCCCTGACAGCTCTGTATGGGTAGGAAACCGATTCCACTTGGGCAAAGGGATGTTTTCTGCCTTGTCCTTTGAGTCTGATCTAGTTCTTTGATCTATCCGTATAGAAGTAGTATTTCTAATGTGCCCAATGGCCAAGTAGCCAAGCACCTGACAAGCATCTAAGCAGCACAACCAGGGAGATGGGGAGTAGGTTATTATTAATTGAGTTGCCTTTACAAAAAATATATTCAGCTTTCTTCACAATGTGCCTTTTCAGAGACCTGTGGTAGTCATTCATGGGCAGCAGAGAAATAACCCCAGTGCCAAGCAGGGATGAAAACCATAGGAATGATACAGAACAGAAGCAACAGGTGGTTAATTTTGACCATCTGTTTGTTCTCCATTGGGATGAGCAAAGCTTGTTGTCTTGTTTACTGCACCACCTTGTCTGGGAGACAACTGTTCAGCAGTGGAGGTACTTGGGTGTATCTCCTTCAACATTTTAATCTTGCCAGAGCTTCAGAATCATTCATATCTGGAGACTTTATTTGCTTAATATTGGCTTTTATAAGCTCTCCGTTATCCACATTTTTGTATGATGTTAGAAGAGAAAATTCAAAGGTTGAACCAAAGGCTGGGTGTTTGACTGGTGCTACTGTGTTAAAAAGGCTGATGTGCTTTCACTTCGAATCCCCAAAAAATTGTTTTAGGAAGCTCTTTTCCAGCTGCAGATGGAGAGGAAATGCGAGCTTTATTGGAAATGCAGTAAAGGGAAAGCTTTGATTCTTTGATGCTCGGGACTGCACCGCCATGACCCCTGTTGTCCCTCTGCAGACTGGGGACTGAGAATTGGTCCGAGGTATGGACAGAGCAAATTCACGCTTGGATTTTCTCTTGACCTTGCTAGATAGGATGTGCCTTGGTGAAAATTCAACTTTCTTAAGGGTCCTATGATTTCCCACACCGTGGTTTGTATTCTGGACTGCCAGAGAGCCTGGAGGGCAGCCTCCAGGTGCCTTCCTCCCAGTTAGTGAAACGAGAGGCAGAGTACCGATGGTGCAGTGTTGGTAAGGGCACCTTCCTGCTCAGAACAAACAGCAGAGATGTGTTGCATTTCGGAGCCTAATCCCTAACACTTACTTAACCTGTGGGCTGTCACCAGGGGGTCCGAACCACGTGTGGGTCATTCCAGAAAGATTCCTCTTGGCTAAATGCCTCATGGGCTGGGAGATCTGCTTAGCTAGTCCAAACTGCAAGGAGGGCATGCCCCCAGGAATGTATTTGCCCTCTGTTGCTGCTATGCTTGGGCCTATTCCTGCCAGCTGTAGGCCTGTCTGCTCTGGTGATGTTGTTTACTGGTTGGGTATTAATGGGTAGTGGATGATCAGGCCAGGTTTGAGATGGTATTTCAGCTTTCTGGTAGCTCTTGGTTTAGCCCTTGAGGTAGAGCGGGTTTTGTGTTGTTTCCTTTGGTGCGGCTGGGAGGGGAGCGTGGCTGCTCGCCCTTCTCCTGGTTCTCCGTTAGCAGACAGAGGCTCTCAGTGGTATGGGAAGCATCTTCCTTTAAATGTGAATCACTATCTGGGCAAGAGAGGGGTGCAAGGAGGCATTCCCTGTACGAGGGATTCCTTCTGCTGCAAACTCCGTGCCTTTAGATCCTAACGAAGTAACATTACTTGAGCTTTTGGGACTGGTCTCCTGTCTGTCAGAGCATGGGGCTACCGGAGCGTTACCCCTTGCTGAGCACAAGCAGCACCCAAGTCTGTGAGGGGCCCGATCCTGCTGTCATTGGAGTTTTTCATGAATCCTGCGAGTTGCTGAATGCACCTGTGAGAGGCTGAGTCCCCTCCCTGCTCACTGAACCCACCAGGCCACTCGGCTCCTTCACTGACTACTTCCACGGGGCTTTGAGGGCACTCAGGAAATGCAATCAGCACCTTACAGGATCACTCTGCTAGGTAATATATGAAGTTTTTTCTCTGGTAACTTGTGTTCATGAATTGAAAACCATTTATTCCAGTTTGTTCTGAGGACAGATACAGCATATACACATTTTCTATATTTATAAATATATATAGATATATATATTTTGTTCTCAGCTAGTTACCTCTTCTAAACTGCAATTTTCAGAGCAACCGGCATATATTTTTTATTCAACACGTAAAATGACTTTTTACTGTAAGAGAATGAAAGCTGTTTTAAGCATGTGTTTTCTGTATTTTTATTATGCATTATCCAATTATATTGAGATGTATTTTCCTCTTTGCTCTGCTCTCTCAGTTGTTATCCTTATTTTATCAGTTATGCTTTTCTAATGTTTTGTAAGGGAAAATAAATATGCAGAATCGCCAGATGCCTTTTTTCTTTGCAGAAGAAGTATCACAAATGCTTTTTTATTACATTTTACCAATCCAATAAACTCCTTATAAATTTCATTTTTGTTTGCTAGCGTGTGAAATTATTTTTTCAAGTCGAATGGTATTTACTTTCTCCCAACCTCCACCTGCAATTATGCTTCATATCCTCTGTCTTTCTCTTTCACATTCAAAATTTCACTGTGTGGCTCTTTAACGTGCTTAATTCCAGAGTGAGCCTTTTTCACTGTTGGGTGAAGCAAGGATGCTAGAGGTATGTCACAAGAGGCTACCCCCTGTGCTTGTACTGACCGTCTCATACAAATTTGGGGCTGTTCTTACAAACGTGTGCCTTTGCAGAAGAGAGCGCTCCATTCCTGAGCCATGAGGTAATCTGCAGAGGTGGGTTAATGTGCAGAGGTTGCCCACGAGTATTCTCCAGGCTGAGTTGTGATGGGGTGGCAGCAGAGCCAAGCCTTGCTTTGCAGCTGAACGGAGGAGCATTATTCATAGTACTACGGGGAGGGTAGAAGGAAGTGTGGTTTGCAAAGCGTATCTCTTTTAGGAAGTTTTTTCTAGGCTGTCACTGCAGTAAATAACCTGAGTTGTTCCTCGTCCAGTCCAATCTGCTTCAAAAAAAAAAAAATACTAGTGCTCATCGCAGAGCCTGACCTTCACCTCTCCAGGCAAAGCAACTGGCACAGCACCAAACCCTCATCGAGAGCTTTGCCTGACCAAAATGCTTCAAGTGACAGAGAATCCAGTGTGTCTCCAGGTAAGCTGCTTCTTACTTGTTAAATATCTGCACCCTGTTTTTTAGCTTCTGTTTCCCTATGCTTTCTATCCTTGGACCTTTTTATAAAAGCCTTTTGCTCTCAGAAATCTTCTTTTGTGCAGAGCTATACAGGCTATCTTCAGGTGGATTCATCTCGATGAACTTTAGCAGCCTAGAAGTTAGATTTGATGTCTGAGGTGGCCCTCTAGTCTTCTGTAGCCTGTGGAGAAGGTCTGTCATCCCTTTGTTAAATAAGTGTTTGATTAGTTGTTCTGTAGAGGGGGCTGTGTGGGTTTTTTTTGCCTTTAAGGGTTAGCTGAGGTGAATGCTGTCTCCTGCATTCATATCAGCAAAGGTAGTTTTCTTAAAAACGTTTTTCAGAGCATTGTAGAAAGATCCCAAGGCATACAATACAGCTGAACTCATTCCCCTTTGTCCCTCCTTACAAAATTTAATTGGCATCTCCTTCAAGACATCCACAGATGGAGGTCCCACAGCCTCTCTTTGCGCTCTATTCCATAGCTGCATTGTCTTCACCCCGGACAGCTTTTCCTAATGTCCAGGCTAAATATTCTTGGCTGCCAATTAAACCCCATGCTTCCTTTCCTACCTCCAGTGAACACGAAGGACTTGCTTAGTAGGTTATGTTTTGTCAGGGGATGCTTTGTTAGCCATGGAAGGAGGCGCGAGCAGCAGCTTCACTGCCAGCTCCTCCTCCCCACACCCAGGGGACTTCAGGAAGGTCCCGTGTTCTCCCTCAGGAAGGGATGAATCCTGCAGCTTGTTCCTACAGGACACGGGAGTCTGAAGGGCTTTGTCTTGGCAGTAAAGGGAGTGTGGTGTTGCAGGCTTTCAAGTCGATTCAAACTACAGTATAGTGGTTTTTTTTCAAGCTCGATATTATTACTTCCTTTATAGCACTAGGTATTTTTTCCTAAACTTGTTAGGATGGAAAAGTTCCAGGGATGTGTTGTCCACGCACAAATCAAAATGCATTAGCAGGCCAAGGGCCAGAGGCGAGGGCCAAGGGTGGGGGAGCTCTCAGTTTGATAGTTCGACGCTGCTTTTCTTGTAATCAAAGGCAAAAATCCTTTGAAGACAATGAAAGCTTTGGGAGTGAAGTGTATCTAAGCCAGGTGTCAAGGCTAGCTGTACCAAGGGTTCAGCGTGGGATGAAGGTGGTGTAGACTATTTGGCAGCCCCACGTGTTGCCCTCCTGGACAAATGGTGAAGCAATCATACAGCTGCCTTCTTGTATTCAATCCTTGCTACTGCAAATTTAACCACCTGGCTTTAAACAAAGATGGGTCTTGTATGTTTGTCTCAACGATATCTAGGCTAACTTCCTCTGCTTCACAAATGGGGTTTCATTACAGAGCGAGGATGGCTCTTCTTTCTAGTCCATTTTGAGGAGACTGCAGGGGCTTTGTAAACTTCCCTGGGGGTTTCAAAGCCAGGGGGAAACTTGGAAAGCCAGGAGAATCTGCACAGAGAATGTCTTGGCAGGCAGTACGGGCATTCTGGATGGGGCTCCTCTCTGCTATCCCCAATAGTTTGGGACAAAAGAGTCCAGTGTGAGGGAGTGTAGGGCTCCCTCCAATATCTCGTGGATTACCTTTTCCTGGTAGGGTGAAGTGTCCTCTGGAGATGCCTCTCGTGCTGTCGAGGGGCTCTGAGAGACCAGCACAGACTAGACTTCTGCAACTGGAGACAAAAGGATGCAGTGAGCAGGCTCTTTCACCACTGTCTACTCTCAGCAAACGTCAAGTTGCCGCATAGCAAACACCACCTCCGCTGCAAAAACAAGCGGGGAAAGGGGGAAGAGGAGTTTGCATTAGGCTGTCAGTAGAATTGCTGCTGCTGTCAGCGTCACCCGTCACAACCTGCCGGGGTTGTGCAAGATGAGCTCCTCCATCAACACGGGAGCTTTTGGGAGGAAGACTGGGAGCTCGCTGCCCCTGCTCTGCTGGACCAAATCCAGGCACCCTGGGTAACAGCGAGTTGAAGTGGGGGAAGCCTGAAGCCTGCACCTCCTTTGCTGCTGAGAGTTTCTGGGGACAAAGGCAATGTTTTATTGATGCTAAATCCAGTTAAAGCACACAAGGTCGGCCCTGGAGCAGAGCAGAGACGTAGGAACTGCTTTCAAAGTGCTAGCTGCACCTCCAGTGCAGCGTCACCAGGAGATGCACATGACACTGTTTTCCACAAGGTAAGGGAAAATAAATAAGGCCAAATCACTGCATAGCAGCATGTGCTGCTTTTTTATCTTGCAATATTGTTGATGTTGGACTGAATCTGCTGTCTTAAAGTATAAATATAAAGACGCTGCTAAATCATCACTATTTCAGCAACTAATTAAGGGGTAATGCTCATGGTGCAGCAGTATATGAGGCAATAAACGGCTTTGGCGGCTGATTAAACGCTGGCACCGAGGCATTTAATTACAGCAAAAGCCAATTACCATGTGCATATTCCAACACCACGGACATTATTCCTGTTATATGACAGAACAAGGAAAGGCAATAAACCATGCTATAGAGACGTATAGTACAGGACTGCGATTAGCTTTGCCAGATCCTGCACCCCTCGCTCTTGGATGGGGACTCGGGTTCCACAGGGAAGGCTCAAAAGAAGGTCACGGAGTGAAAGTTTTTCACAATACACATGACCCATTTGAGATCTAGAAATGGAGCCAAATATTGCAGAACCTTCCTTTACTAAGGTGCATTTGACCACGTGTAGAAAACAAGAATCCCACGCTTAGGGTAACAGGTGCAGTTGAAGCCTCACCCTAGCATATCGAGCATCGATGGGCAAATCAGCAGCACTGGTGGACGAGGTTATGCGCAGCCTTTTCTTTCTCTCAGTTATTGAATTGCAGAAAGCATAATCAGTTGCAAAACACCACATGCCATTCTTCAGCTAATTGATTTAAAAGCTGGAGTCTGATTTTCACAGGCTTTCAAGCTCTTGCACTATCCATTTGACTTAACCAGCTCAGTACCTCTTCAAATTAAGCCCTCGCTCTCTTTAACCAGAAGTGAATTCTTCCTTTTGAAGGAGTTTCCTAGAGAAATTCTCTCTTAGAAAATCCTTGGCACGAAACCTTAGCCAGCCTTGGCATGCAAACCTGCCTCACGCTGGCATTAACAAGCCTCTTATTTAAATGTTGATGAGCTCTTTGCTGCCAGTTAGCAATGGGAAATGCAGTCTGTGTGTTAAACGAGAGCTGGGAATGACTTCCAAATACCAAAATGTTTGTTAAACTCACAGCCCACCTCTTCCCTCCTTGGGGGTGGGAAGCTTCCCAGCAAATTGGCCCCATTTTGCACAGAAACTGCCAGACACGATCAGCCCAAGGATCCCTCTCGTTCTATGGCCCGCGTGGGACCGACGCCAGGACCACGGCTTCCCAGGACGCCCTCTCGTACCCGCGTTGTTCCCGTCTGCCCCAGGGAACATTGCCCCTGACCCCTGTTAATTAGGGGGGTCTCGGGCTTTGAAGGCAGGCTCCCCTCACCGCAGTGTGCGTTTGGGCTTCCTTGTTTGCTTTTAAGCGTCCCTGCTATAGGGCGGTCTGGTGGCTGTTACCTTTACTGAGAGCTGATGAATCTCAACCCCGAAGCCTTTCAGGAGTCACTTGGTTCTCTGTGGTGTTCTATAGAAATGCATTCCACAAGCTGATTGACATACTGTATGTTGATTTATCTCTTTAGCTTGACAGGTACGCCCTCAAATTCAGTCTGAGGCTGTGGGAGCAGCTGCCACCCCATGGAGACCAACTGCTTTGTTGCCTCTAAACCCTCGGATATGGTGAGGGCTCTTCAGCCCTTCTGGGGCTCTTCCATTTTGTAGAGTCTGAGGTGAGTCAAAGGGCAAGATTCAAATACGAAACCCAAGGCCAGGCAGCCTCTCGGTATCCTCGTGTTACCTTTGCTGCCTTCTGAAATCAACATGTTCCCCAGCCAAGGAACGTGTAAATTCTTTCGGCTATCACTCACTTTTGGATGGAGCCCAAATGCTCATATACACAATCGTCTGTTTCTTCAGTGTCTGAATGAACCAGAAAGGCTTTGTCTGCTATAGATGGGAGCTTTCAATCCCATTTATGGTACATTATATCAGTCTGAAATAGCATCTGTAAGGTTCTTAAACTGAACCACCGTCAGATTTACAGCCACCGCAGAAGAGTTAGCAGGCTGGCTCCAGAGAGCTATGAGCAGTAACCATACTCTCTTGAAATATTTGCTTCCTTTGCAAAGTTGACCTGAGGAAGAATGTGTTGTTCATTTAAAGATTGCAGTTTGTTCATTTATTCGGAGAACATCTTCATTGGCAGCCACTTGTAAAGGGATGAACTTCAGAGCTGAAAGCTGAAGACATGCTTCTTGTCATCGTGGAGCTGGTGACAGCTGCTCAGCCAGGGAGCTCCCCGTGATACATCTACATACGTGCAAGGTACAACAGGGGGGATCTGAGCTGCTCAACATCACGGGATGAGCGAGGCAGCTCAGCTAAACACAATCTTCCCCTCAAACCTCTGCCCAGAGAATGACTGGGAACTTGACTGAAACTCAGCAGACAAAAGAGTGGCGTGCACGGACACGTTCTTGGTTTTTAATATCTCTGCTACCTTGAAGAGCACTTGAAACACCTCGGCAAGGCTGCACCAGCAGGGCCAAAATAGGACGCACCAAAAATCTCCCCCAAGAGCTTACTGTTGGGTCATTTCCAGTCTGCTGGTCACCTGCAACCTAAAGCAAGCTAAACTGAGGGAAGCTGTCCCCCATACCATCCCCACTGTAAACTGCTGGGAGAGTGGCTGTTTGTTTTCAGTTGTCCAGGGGAAGTGCAGGAAGCCTGCCGAGACTGGGGAGGTTTCGCTTGATGCTGTGCAGATATGGCTAGTGACAGCCCATGCCTCAGACGCTCCCAGTCAAAGAAGGCAGGACAAACGAAGAGCGGGCAGTGCTGCCAACTCAAGCTGCCAGAGCCTTGTGTTTATGTGAAATTCTTGGCTTTCATTTAAAATAATAATAATCATAATAAAATATAAAAAAAAAAAATCTGACCCGCTCAGTTGGAAATGCGATCGCTAAAGAGTCAGAAACCACAAGACCATTTAAAAAGGCCCATAATTCATACGTATATACTTATAACTCTCGATTTTGAAGCCAAAATCATGGTGTTTGGAGGCCCAACTGAAGTCTTATGAATTCCTAGGGGCTGACAGTACCAAGTGGGAAAAGGGCAAAATTAGTACATGGGAAAGAAAGAGGGTTGCCAAAGGTATGACGGCAGGTCAGTGGGAGAGCCAGGCCTCCTGCCTCCTCGCCCCATGTACTAGCCACATTGTCTGGCCTCCTTCCCCAAAGGAAATTAAGAGTCCTTAAAGCAATCCTGGCTATTTTAGTCTTGTGTTTCCATCTTCCTTTTGATGCTCTTATTTTCGGCAACACGCGGATCTTGCAGCATCCTGCTGCTCCCCATAGGATATTATTCCATCTCTGGGGCTCATGGTCATGATACTGTGTGCTGATGACAGCTGTGGGAGTTTGCAAGTAGCTTAACATTTGCATGCCATGAATATGCAGCTCTGAGCATGGCCCAGTTCTCCATGCAGCCAGCCTGTGCGTGTTTGCAAGGGATGGCAGCATCCTGCGTATGTCTAGATCCCAGGAGACACCAGTTCCTAGTGCCTTGGGTGACATTTTTGTATATGCTTGGCTGTTTATAACCACAAACACCTGGATAACCAGCTTTCTGGGAAATCTGGGCTTGCTTTTAATCACAGCAAAAAAGCAGGGTCTTCCTGGTTGAGTAGCAATCGTCCCTACCTGAGCCATCTCCAGGATCCTGTCTGCACACCAGCAGAGCAGGGAAACCTCCTGGCACTCAGGACAGCCCTGGCCAAGGGCAGAGCCCTCGAGCTGCTGCTCTCCCTGCCACACCAACATCCAGTTTCTGTTTGCACCAGCACAATGTCAAACATCTCAGCAGCAGCCCTGGCAGAAGGTGAGTCTGCTAGAACGGAGGTGTCGCTTCCTCTGCTGAGGCCTCTCTAATAACGCCGAGATGCTTTCCTAACTAATTAATTACAGGGCTTTGGCTGAGTCTTTTTAATGATTCCCATCTTCCTGCTGCTGCTCTGCAATCAGCACTACTCGCAGCGCTGTTCAGAGCAACGCTGATGCCATCAGAGCAGACGGATGAGCGATATGGGGTGAGGGGATGTTTTTATTCAAGCCAGTTGTACCGTAAGCTGCTTGAGTTTCTGCTCTCTGATGTACTTTCCTGGAGAGGAGGAGGATGATACGGCTGGCAGGTAGCTCTACCAGGCCTTTTGCCCTCACCTGGGTTGCTGTCTCAAGGGAAGAACTTGTGCAGAGTATAAATAGTTCCCACTCTCATTAAAAAGCCATAAGCTCCTCAGGGTCTAGCTTGCTTGCACATCCCTATGATTTGGCAGTTCAGAAAAGAATTGAAGCTGCGGTCTGGAAACTTTGCTCCTGGACCTTGAATATCAAGACTGGCTCTAGGTAGAAGAGACCAGCCCAAGTCAGCACTCCATATTATTTATGCCCACCTATTATTTATGCTCTGATAGCACATAGCCATAGTCCACGGCCTCTCGTGCTTGTACAAATCAAAACCTGGGTCCAAATCCTTCTGCTCTCAGCAAACAAAGACGATCGCATGGCTCTGCTGGACTAGTCCAGGCTGCACAGTATGATAGCACGACCGTGTGTAGCGGTGATCTCCAGCTGTGAAGCCACATTAATTATTGTTGCTACTCCTGCCTTGCCTCATTAATCGACTCTTCATGTTGCAGTAGGAACCAGCTGCCCCAGTCTTGCCCAGAGCTTTATTGCAAGGGTGAAGACAAATCCTCACCTCAAAAAAAAAAAAAAAAAAAGCATAGTAGGAAATGAAAGGCAGCAGGAGAAGGCAGCTGTGAGAGCAGCAAGTCAGTACAAAGCAGCAGCCTCAGGAAACTGGCTCTCAAATGGTTGTGGGTCACTACAAAGTGAGATTTCAGGAAGGATTTGAAGGCAGATACTTGCGTCCTTTTAGGCTCATTCCAGGAATAAACACAAAGCAATATTATGGTATTTTTTTAAGACGGATATGTGGGATGCAATAGGTACATTACAAGAAATTTTGCTTTGTCTTCCCACAAAGGGTTGTTGTGGGTTTTTATTCATTACTTCAAAATGTCTGTATAGGTACTCTCATTTCAATCCCTGTGGCATGAGCCAAACAGAGGAGATGAAACCAAGGTTTTCTTGAGAGCTCTATAATTAACAACTGGTCCCCTGAGCAGCAGAAGCAATCGAGCCTGCTTTCCTATGAATTTGTGCCATATGTGGTTCTGTGCTGTCTAAGAAGGAGTGAATTCACTCGGCAGTTCTTTGCTCGCAGAAGGCCTTCCTGAGGTATTTCTCTCTGACAAAAATTTGCAGGGATCTGGCATCTTCAAGACCTTTCCATCCTTTTTCTTCCCCTCCAGTTTGGCTGAAATTGGTAAGGAGGTCCTGAAGGTACCAGAAGGTTGGAAAGATGGATGGTAGGGAAAAGCTGGCTATCAGATGAAGGCAGAAAATGCCATTATGCGTAGTAAGAAACCTGCTGGGAGGAAGTGGAAAGGAGCTCCTATCTGAAAGGAGCTAAATTCAGGTCACGGGCTCATTTTCTATGATTCCTTCCTAGAGAACCTCTTAACACTAAATAAATGATGCACTGGTCTTCAGATGACGCTGCTGCATTTAGTACAGCTCTTCCATAGATATTCCTGCAGCCAGACATTCAAAGAATCACTGTTATCTTTACAGCCTCTATCCCAAGAGCATCCAGAGCTAAGCAGAAGTTCAAGCACAAAGTGCTGGGACTTCCTCCTCGGTGTAATTGATAAATATTAGCAGCGCCTTTGTAATGGCTCGAAGCTTTTGTGCTGAATTTGCATCTAATAAGAAGGGGCCTTTTAACGAACAAATAAATAAATAAATGGAGGAAACCTTCTCTTTGAGCTAATTTTAGGCACGTCCATGCTGACAGCTGCTCTTCCCTGATATATCTCAGCCACATCCTGGAAGGGCCACGGGGACTAAGCTCCGTTCGTGCCACTGCAGCTGAGAACAGACCTTTGTTTGTTTTATTTTTAAGGGATTGATGGTAGCTGGCTTTCCAGAACCTCCCTTCATCCTGGTTTTCATTAGGAGGCTTACGACGCAGGTGGGAACTTACAGCACTTGAATGGGTGTCCAAGCCACACACAACCCAACGAAAGGTTGCAGTCGCAGGGCACAGGGTGTCAGGCTGAGGTTTGCACTTGGTGGCCTCCTCCTCCCGTGTTGCTATCTGGGAAAGAAATCCTGGAGCGCTGAGATTTGAGCTCTGGAAATGTCCCAGATTTTGAGCAAATAGGTCTGGCACATGGGATCACCTTGGGGACAGAGGCCCTGATGGACTGCAGATGTGCAAGGCGGCTCCAGGGAGAGAAAATGGGGAAGGGAATGGGGCAGGACTCACCTGTGAGAGTCCTGTGTTCAGCTGTCGGTGACCTGGCCCTGCTTCTGGTGAGGTGGAGAGCCCTAGAGAAGACTTCCTCCTCCTCTGGGCATGAAGTAAGCCAAGAATGGCTCCTTGCATTGATTTAGTCCATGGGCTAACTCTTCTGATTCCCCTCATTTGCAAGGCACTGCACAAATACATAAAGCTGAGATGAGCACAACGGGAAAAGTTTCAGCCCCATGTCTGCTTGGAGAGAAAGATGAAGTGGCATAGAAATGGCTCTTTGATCTTCACCCGTAGCTTTTATTTTTCCCCTGCTCTAATTAGAAACTCAGGACTTGTCTAGCTTGGATGATTGTTTCATTTCCTCGTTGAAAAGGTGATTACCCCTTTAGTTTTCATAATTACCTAATCAGCAAAAATCAAACCAATCAATGTTAATTTCAACCCTAATAAATATTCCCTGGTATTCTATACATTTATGTATATCTCAAAGCTCATCCTACTTGCAAGGAAAAAAAATGATTCCACGAGTCGGGCCAGCTTGCTCAGCATCACATCCAGCAGCGTGCCAGCTTCCCGTGAATGCACAGGGAGGGGACGGCGTGTGGCAGTGCAAAGCTGAACAAATGCACCTAGAAACCGGGATGGGAAGGGTCATAACGAGAGGTCACCCAGCCTGTGCCCTGCCACAGGATGGGACCAGCTGGACCCAAACTAGTCCAGACAGATGTTTGCCTCTGTCCTGTTCGTGAAAGCACTCTAGGCTACAGACTGCACGGTGTCCCAAGCAAGCTTTTTAGTGCTTAAACTGCACTCGTTAGTTGAGACATTTGGAGATGGTGCCAAAGTTAAATCTTCCTTGATGTACTCTAAGCTTATTATTTCCTGCCCTGCCCACAGTGGACTAATAACCTGAACTCAAGCTGGGCTACTTCTTCCCCTGGTAGGTGGATCTGGGGGGTCATGCTATCCACTGAGAAATTAGCCTGGACTAGTCAGAGTTATTACAAAAATACTGCCTGACCACTTCCAAGAGTTGGTAAATTCAGGATCCAGCTGATGACCGAGGCCTTCCTTGGTCTTCTAAATCACCAGAAGTCTCAGCTTTTGGGATGAGGACAAATTATACGAGGGACCCAGCCAGGTGTGCCTCACTCAACCTGCTCCATACAGGTGGGGTTGGAGCATTTCACTCTCTTTATACATGTTGGCCCAGATGATTGCCCACCGCTGTGGTTTCTACTCCAGTGCAGAAAGTGAAGGGTAGAAAAAAGTGGTATGAACTCAGCAGTCAACTGCCTGCTATTATTTACCCTGATAAAGGGCAAGTGCTTCTTTCTGGCACTGGTAATAGTGGCAATACTAAATTGTAGTTGTCCCAAATTAAGTCTTCTCAGCGTTGTACCAGATGCCGAGATGCCTCTGGCAACTTTTTCCCCATTTGCATACCATCGTCATTTGTGCCTTCCCTGTTGACTGAGCACTGCTCCGCTTGCAAGCAACTCTGCTGTGCGGCAGAATGGCACATGCTTTGGGCCAGGACATCATTTCA